ACATTTAAAATGAATAGTTAGATGCATGTGTATTTCTCTTTGAAAAGGCATTGTTCATTATTTGATCTTAAAGTTCTTTACGAGTCAGCGTTCATCTAATGTAATTAGTTCTGCTGGAATGCTAGGTGAAATGGTTTTTCCAATTATCACAAGTTTTTATTCTCTATCTCTGAACAGAATAGATTGCAGATGACTTCATGAACTACCTAAAGTGTTTATCCTGATTAAATAAACAGCATCTAGGTAAGTTTTAATGGGTTAAATATATATGTGGTGATCACCACTTAATAACATTAAAAAATATGCATGTGTTGTGTAGGTTCTGCCATGGCAGATGGTGTGGACCTCAGCCGAAAGTTTGTGTCAGAGTCTGAATTAGACGAGATTAGGAAAAAAAGGCAGGAGGAATGGGAGAAGGTCCGCAAGCCAGATGACCCGGAGGGTGAGACTTTCACTTTGTCTGCATCAATCACACAAATTAACAGCAGGCTTAATGACAGACATTAGTTCTCCCCGGATGCATTTGACAAATTTTGGTTGTGTTCATTCGCACTCAATCACAGAGGCCCCCGAGGAGGAGTATGACCTCCGATCTCTGTATGAGAGGCTACAAGAGCAGAAAGACAAGAAACAGGAAGAATATGAGGAGCAGTTCAAATTCAGTAAGCCATCATGCTGCTTTCCTCCCATATTCATTCCTTTATTTTGATCAAAAACAGATGACACACATCACACAGTCTCAGGGGGCTTGCCTCTCCCGTCAATACGTGACCTCATTTTGGGGTTTATCTGTCACCGTTTGCGCAAAAACATGCGTGTGCATGTGCACACATGCGTTGGTGTGTGTTTGAGCTTGTCGGTGGGTGTCTATGAGTGTGAACAGATGGGAGTGGTGGAGATCAAGAGCAGGTCTGTTCTTGCGGGTGCTGATGGGAGACTGGCATGATCTTAGCATCTCGGCTTCTTCTCTGTATCCCTGGTGACAAACCCACTCTCGGTCTCCCTAGCGACCATTGCTGCTCCTATTGCCGTTGATTCCAAGGGCCACATCTCTTGCTCTGCAAGCATGGTGGTCATATTCAGACATTAGTGGTTGAAGAACCAGTTCTGATTGAGAAAAATATATATATTTTCATGATGCTCGGTTCTTGAGTGTCCTCAGAAAGAACCACTAATGGAGACTTCATAATTCTGTTGTTGTGTTCCTTCACAGAGAACATGGTTAAAGGCCTGGATGAAGATGAGACCAGCTTTCTTGACGAGGTCTCACGGCAGCAGTCTCTAATAGAGAAGCACAGACGGGACGAGGAAGCTCAGGAGATAAAAGAATACAGGATATCCTTTTACACCTTAAAGCGCACACAATATTACTGTCATGGCTCTTAAAAATTGACAGGGAGTTTTGCTTTCCGCCTGAGTCTGTCTCCACTTTCACCTTCGTTAAGCTGGTGGTGGAAGCTTCAGCTGTCAAGCGTAGTGATGGCTGGTGAAAAGTAAAGTAGAGTTCTTATACCTTGTTAGTGTACATGTTCTCAAACAAGACGGCCCCAAGAGGAACCCAACATACTGACGATCCAGCGCTGCTCCGACAGAAATTCATGCAGGCTTAGAGCAGGGGTGTCAAACAGGGAGCCCTGCAGAGTTTTGTTCCATCCCTGCTCCAACACACATACCATATAGTTTTCAAATAAGCTTGAAGGACTTGATTAGTTGGATCAGGTG